ATTTTTTAGTCGCCAAATCTCTTTTTTTCTTTTTTTTTCTTTTTTTTTTGAGAACAATCAATTTTTGTTTATAAACATTCAATCCAATATCAAACAAAATTCATTCAACCCAACCATAATTAAGGAACAATAACATTTAAAAAATAAAAAGCAATGTTAAAGTATCTTAAAAATCCAAATTAAAATTACAAGTATACAGCAAGCAATGAAGAATACTTAATGCTTCGCACAATATTGCCTCGGGATATTAGTTTCAAACCTTCAAATAAAATGTTTAAAAAAAAAAGGAAAAGAAATGACGAAAGTTTACTGAAAAGATATGCTCGGTTAATAGTCCTGAATACATGCAACAAAAATTTCTTAAATACTAGATGCCAATAAATGTGTATAGAATTTGAACCACCATAAAAAGGTATTTGGCTATCCATCATATTAACAATCATTCAGCATTATAAATATATAAGATGAATGCATACCACTTTCGGTTAAATAACTATAACAAATACCTAAAATGAAGCATCATGAAGGACCTGAGTAGCTGCCATGCTGGCAAAACCACCACCTATAATGATGAGTAAGGGTGAGGCACCCATGTCTTCTCTCAACATTTGAATAGCAAGGAACTACAAAAAAAAAAAAGACTTAAATTATCATATTGGGCCCTGGAGCTTAACTGGCACAAATTGATAAATGGTTCAAATAATGGCAGAGTCAGTGATGGCAGAGTCGGTAATAGAAGTGATGGCAGAGTCAGTAATATGCCTCCACATCTACTTCCAATAACACTCTAGCCAAAAACAGTTAACAGAAACAATGATAGACAACATATTTTACACATACACTGGACATGCTACCTATCATTATTCAAAAATACAGGCAAGAAACAACTAGGCAGAGGCAATTATTGACCACAAACACAAAAGAAGTAGCAAAAATAATAACTTCTGTAACAGAAACGTGGGTGAATAAATATAGATGGGAAAAAATGCTTTATTTCTTAAAACAGAAATCGATCAAAATAATCTCAGATAAAGTATTGAAATTAATGTGTCATTATACCTAAGAGACATACAATGCAAATTTAGGAGTGGTTTGGGATGATATAAATAAGTACACTTTTTGACTTTTTATGAAATATGGATTGGGTATGGGTTGGGTTCGAAATGATGTGGTAGAGATGTGATGTGATGTGACTTAAATAGGATAGTGACTTTTTGACTTTTTTAGGTTATGACAAACAATGCCTTAATTATAAAAGGTTTTTTAGTATCAATCTTGAGAATTGCTTCTGTTCTGACATATCCGGCCTTGATTTCCATTTAAAAAAAACAATTCCTTGCCTGAATGTTGAATCAAAGGCATGCAAATGTCATCGTTCACCATTCCCCCTCTAGTTCTAGGTTAAAGACTCCATTTTTTTTACTTGTTTATTGCTCCCTTAATTTTATGTGGATAAATTCTAAAATAACGATTAGCAACTAACCGTTGGATTACCTCATTGCAAAACCGATAGAAACCCGTCCATCGGTCCATGTTTATGACCTTGTAATCAATTTGTGTCTGCATTCAAAGCAAAAACACTCAAATGAGATAAATAAATGGGATTGGCTCCTATCTTGTGCATGCCTATAAGGTCCTTCACGTCAGCACTCAAACTATGATGCATCATTGTATGTGAGACTACTAAATGAAATAGTTGAGGGCTGAATTTCTGATTTTAACTAAAAAAACGAGCAAAGAGGAGCCAGCCCCATATGATATTCACTAATATGACAAATCCTAGAATCACAAGTCCAAAATTAAGGAAACTCTCACCAATACTCAAAAACAAACATTAGACCTAGAATTCATAAGGTTTGATAAGGATTAGTTTACACCTTTAATACTCCATTTGGATGGAGAGGTTTTATGAGAAAAGAAAAGAAAAGAAATGATGAGAATAAAAAACCTTCACTTGTTTGGATGGTTAAGTAGGTGAGAAATGCTATGTTTTGTTTTTGGTGATGAGATTTGGTGAGAAAACAAAACGGGTTTAATGAATCTTTTCAAAAATACCAAAATTACTCTATGTTGGAAGAAACTAGAAAAATAGCTTATTAATATAAAAAATTATTTGGATAAAACAAAATAAAACACTTTCTTTTCTTTTTCCATCCAAACACAAAATGACAAGAAACCATAATCATTTCATTTCATTTCTTTTATTTTCTCGCCTCATGATCCAAACGGAATGTAAAGGTGAGTTGTTGCATAAATTAATATAAGTAACTGGCAAAACCAATAGTACAATTTAGCATGATCAAGCATTTCAATTGGTTATCAACCACAAAGCTGTAATGAAGAAAACGCAGCACATAAAAGGGACAGCTTTCAAAAACAACTTTTAAAAAAAAAAAAATGCTAAAAGGCAGGCCATGTTCCAGTAGTAGTGTCATCATGTCGAAAATCCAAAAAAATGAGAGAAAGAAAGTTGGAGAAATTGGGACTAACCTTTAAGAAAGAAGTAGGAGATATTGTCACCATGTTCTGAAATGTATAGTTCTATATTTTCCTTCCTTCCTTCATCGTGCATAACCTTTACGACTCATGGTGTGTAAGAGGGTTTGCTTTTTCCTCATTGCCCGAAATATTTTACTCTTTGCCTACATATACAAAAGAAGAATGTCATAATTTATATGATTAATTATAAATAGAGTTATAAGCACCTCAGTTTTATAATTGGTAGATGATGTTCAAGATATTATTGTATATATTAGTCAAATAAATAGAGTTATAAGCACCTCAGTTTTATAATAATAAATAAGATAAAATAAAATAAAAAACTTTGCTGCCACTGTGAATGCACAGAAGTGGCTGAAAGCTAGAAGATGAGCAATGTAACTATTTATTTATTTATTTATTATTATTATTATTATTATTATTATTATTATTAGTATTATTATTTTATTTTTTGTGTTTATTAAAGAAAGCATGATATGCCCAAATTCAAATCACTATTTAGTTTGATGGGGGTATTGATGAGATTACAAAAAAGCGGGCCTAAGTTATTGAAGTATGAATCATGAGTACATAAGCAATCATGTAAACAAACTGAATCTGAAATATCAAGAGTGCATAGAGATATCAGCATATCATATTAATTCCACATTATATACAATTCATATTGTGAACCATCATATTAATTACTCAAAAGGTAAAAGCAAAATGGCAATAAAGAAGAAAAATATTGATGTGGAAGTTCCCAAGCAAATTCATGTCAGGATCTATTCAAAATCAAATCAAAGACAATTGTGAACATCTTACACATGTATTTTTTATTTTTCCAAATCATATCATTATTGGTAAACTACTATGATTATGAGAGAATATCTTTGTCAACATATCTGAAATATTATCATCTGTGTGAAGTCTATTTCACGGCATATTTTTGCAAGCCGTGAAAGTATATAAATTATTTTTGTATTAAAAAAAATCCAGATTGTAACTAGAATATATAGTTTATTGTGAAAAAAAATAAAAACTTCTCATATCTACTAGAAATTTATAAATATTTAAGAACATCTAGAATTTTTTTTATTATTTATAATTAAAATATAATTTTTCTAGAGAATAAGAGGCTTTGGGACAAAAATAGGTATGGATCTAGAATGAGAGGGAGTGTGGTGTAAGTTTTTAAATAATTTTTTTTGTCACTTTTTAAATTCAAATAATTTACATATATTTAGAAGGAAAATATTTTTAAATTTTCTAAAAAAATCACTAAATTCAAAAAAAAAATATAAAATTTAATATTTTACAACATGAAATGTATGTTGTCTGAAGTGCAAATAGTTTATAACATATTTTTGTATGCCGTGAAAATATACATTTTTTACGACATACTTTTGCATGTCATAAAAAAATTGGATTGAATTTTTTTTATTTTTTCTAGAAGTTTTCACAGCATTCATTAGCATGTTGTGTAAAGTTATAATATTTTACAACATAAAATGTATGTCGTCTTAAGTGCAAATATTTTACGACATATTTTTGTAAGTCATAAAAATATACATTTTTTACGACATACTTTTGCATGCTATAAATAAATGAATCAACGACTTACATGGTATGTATACTGCTATTGACAAAACATTAACAACTTGTAAAAAAAAAAAATATCGTAGAATGTACTAATGCATTTAATGCATGCTGTAAATAGTTAGTTTTGTTGTAGTGAATGAAACAATCAGCAATCAAAAATAAAAATGAAACAATTACAAACACAAAAATTGATGCACAATGACATATAATTGAATGGGACTTCCATTTTTGTATATCCACGTTCAAAAGTACATATGATCATACTATAACTGTTTTTGTACACATCAATAAAAATAATGAGTTTGCAAATTTTGATGTCTAATTTCCTAACAATGTTAGACACTAATCTTCATTAATTTAACGAAACAAACAATTACAACCAAATTCATCCGATAAAACCCAACATATTCGTATAATTTCCCTTCTCAATCAATTTTGAATCTTGTTATTACTATCATGAGTCTTATACATAGAAGAAGAAAAGAAAAAAAAAATCACATACAAAATTGAAGGCTCTTGAGGGGAAAATGAGTAGTATTTCCTCATTTGCTGATAAAATCACATAAACAAATCAAATAATATTATTTTGAGATGTAGAGATCCATTAAATCTTGAGGAGTAGTTTTGTTATTTCACACTATTTTTTTCCCTAAGGTTCTGACAATACATTGCTTTTGGAAAATTCATATGAAAATAGTTTTGAAAACCTCTCATTAGCAATCCAGAAATTCCAACAATAATTTCAAGCAACCAAACACTTTCAAAACCAAGCCAATTCAAAAATTGCCCCTTCCATATGAATCGATCATAGAAATTAGGCTTACCGATTATGAATCGATCAAAATCTTCAAATTCATCAACAATCGATCGAAATCTTCAAATCCTCATCAACTATTGATCAAAATCTTCAAATGAACAACAAAATTGAGATGAAGAGTCCAAAGACAGAGTCGAGTGAGTGGAGAGTGGAGAGTGGAGAGTGAGATTTTGAGAGAGAGAGAGAGAGAGAGAGAGAGTTGATACCGTTAGAGATCGGTCTTCAAAGGAAGAGAGCAAAATGGATTTGGGAAATAAGAGTAAAAGGGGATAGGGCAAGCTTTACAAGATTTGGGAATATATATATATATTTTTAAGTTAGTTAAGAATACGATTGAGGATTAAAATAAAATTACATTTTAATGTTAAAAGTGGTTTTTTGCAACAGCCAAACAACCAGTGGCAAAAAAATAGATGCAAAAAGTCATATTTCTATGATTTATTTCCCTCCCTGGCTTAGCAGTTCCAAATTGTTCAATATATGATAATACTCCCTAACATTACATCTTGGCCCTATAATTGGGTTCCATGTTTTAAAATGGATAATAACAGGACATGTTGATTAAGAACATTAATGTGTCCAGAAAGATAAAAACACATTATATATATGCCAAGCACATATGACCAAAAACAAAAACCATGTGTTGATTGCGATCATCTACTAGCATAGTTTGCATTTGAGCTAATAATTTATTTGTCAACATCAAAATCGTCATAAATTGCATTGGCATTACGGAATAATTTTTTAGATAGAATCGTTATAATGAATCAATTGCTTCTCATTTTTTCCTTTGTAATTTTTAAAACTTCACAAGTCACGTTAAGTTTGAATACATACTTGTAAAAAATATATTATATGAGATGAAAAAAATAGACTCAGATTGAGAGTTATTATATGTAAAAAATAGTGACCCTAGATCTAATTTTGATACAAAATATTTGGAGATGTTCGATCTCAAAACCAATCGGTAATAATAGATGGAAAGACCTCTGAACCAAGTTTAGATGGTTTGAAGAAAACAATGTGCAACAAGCTTTTCCTAAAACTGATAAGATTGGCTTAACACAAATTTCAAGTTTTATTATTATTTTTTGAACAAACTAATGTGAAATGCACATTAATTTGAAAGAAAATTCTGTTTACATAGGCATTGGACAATCAGCAATTCATTTAGAAAAAAAATATGAACATGAAATTCTCAACTTTTGGGTAATTAATACAACATGCAATTGCATCATCCTGGGACTTTCATTCCAAACATGGAACCTACATCAAGCACCAGAACCTTTTTCTTTTATTTTCTTTCATTTTTCTTTTTTTTAGTAACAATCTTCTCTGGATTTTACTCGTATAGCGCTGGGTCAGATAACCTCGGCATTGGAATTACTACAAGAGGTACCTTCTTCTTCAACACAATACCAAACTTCTCTTCCAAATCCAATTTCTCCCCTTCAGGCAATTTCCAATCAAAAGAGTGCACAAGCGAAGCAAGTGAAAACATGAACATCCTCTTTGCCATTGCAGTCGCTGCACAAATTCTTCTCCCGGACCCAAATGGGAAATAATTAAAGTCATTCCCACTATAATCCCACTTAGAATTCCCCAAAAACTGCTCTGGATCAAACTCCAACGGGTTTTTCCAAACTGAAGGGTCTCTATGCACAACCCACACATTAACAAATACACGAGCACCTTTGGGAACAGTGTAGCCTCCGACAATGCAAGACTCAGTGGGGGCAGTGAGGCACCAAGAACGGAAGGGCAGGGTGTGTTGTTCCAATCCACATGCTTGCAAAACCATGCAAAGGAGAGAGTCAGAGCAAAGATGGCGTGAAAAGACTTTCACCTCCAAAGGAGGAGGTCTGAGTTGGGCAACTGCTCCCCCTTCCCTTCACGTTGTTGTTCCTTGTTGATTTTCACCATTCACCATTAAAGAGGGTAGACATTTTTGGTGGGTTGGTGTATCTCTCTCTCACTCTCTTTGTGTATAAATAGAGACGGGAGGGAGAGGATGTTTGGTATCAGAAATTGGAGAGTGAGAGCTGTGAGTTGAGTGAGTTTTTTTCGAAAAAACAGAGTGCATTTTTCAGAATTGCCCAGAAATCAAAGTAGTCAAAATCTACTTTTGATCACATAAACTTGAAGCCCTCAACGAGACGAGCACATAGGAAAAAACCGCGTCAAAAATGGAGGTCGGAGTAGGCCGCACGCTCTCCACGCTCCTCCGACGTCGTTCCCACGCGCTAACGACTGGATTCACGCCCTCCACGCACGAACCCAGGGAAGAAGACGACCCTTCTGTTTTATGTAATTAATATTTATTGGTGAAGATACAAGTCACAAGTGTTGTGTTGGCATAGTGGCTAAGGTCCAAGTGTTGCTGCTACAAGTCAGGAGTTCAATACTCCTTGGAGACGGAAAAATATCTTTTCTGTGAAAATCCACTTAAGCCGAGCCGCCAGCCCAAGCCGAGCCGCTGACCAAGCCGTTGACTGAGCTGATGACGTCAGCATGACGCCAGCCGAACCGGAGAAATAATCCGGTGCTTCTCAGCCGCACCAGATTCTGCCAATCTGAACCATTCAATCCATTTTGGCTTGATCTAAGCCATTTGAGGTCCGATTTGGGTTATCTAATACTGGTTTCCAACTATTTGGAATATTCCGTACACATCTGTACGGTCAGATTTTGCAAATTAGATTTCAAAAATTTGCAGTCTTTCTTTTGGTAATCTGAAGTGCTTTTCAGCCTACTTTGACCAGTCCGGACTCCACAGCAAAACCTGTTTTTCAGCCAAAGATCACTTTTTGTATGATGGAGGAATCAACGTCGACTTCAGGTTCCATGATAAAGCTGAATGCTTCCAATTATGCCATTTGGAAGCCTAGAATGGAGGATGCCCTGTATTGTTGAGATTTGTTTGACCCTATTGAGCTTAATGGAGTTAAACCAGCAACGAAAAAAGACAAAGACTGGAATCGGAAGAACTGAAAG